CTTAATTTTCTCGTGGAAACTGGGTCTGTGCCTTCCATAATCTTTGGCTGACCGATGACGCTATCAAAAGCATCAAGTAGTTCTCCTGTAGTCCAGTTGCCGTTCCTTTTTCCCATTTCTCCAACTTTTCACTTGTCCTTCGAGGAAGTTTTGGACGTATTCGTCGTCATTAATGGAGTCGATCCATGCTGTTCATTCAAGTTTCTAAGTTGTGTCCATATTAATTTTACTTGCCAGAATGTATGACGTTGGTTTCTGGACAAACGCGACTAAGTCTTTTGCTCTTCCTGATAACATGCTTTTTAAATGGACTTTAGCAGTAGGTACCTCATTTCGAGTACTGTGTACTGCAATCAAATATGAATCATAAAATTCTGGAAATCACACTCCATCGAATGGTGGGACTTCCAACTTCGGTAGCTGGATGTTGAGTTATGGTAGTACAGGGGCGCTTCGAAATCTGCTCTCGTTTGTGAGACTTTCTTCTAATTCTTTTTTGAGTATTTGCCGAGGAGAGCTTAAGCGATGCGTTATAGAGTAGAACTTCTGCTTGGCTGGTTTCCCACTGCTCGGTAGACTCTTGCACTGAAGTATATCATTCTGCTTCTTCTCGTTTTTCCTACGCGCATTTTTCCCTCTGGACCATGCGCTTCTCTGATTCTGTGAGGTACTGAAGCCCTGCCATGCCTCAACTGTCATTTGTATGCCGTTGTTGCTTTGGGGTCAGAGGCGAAAGCTTCCCATCGTGATCTCGGCGTCGTAGATCTCTATCATTTTCTCCTCCATATCCTTCAACTTCTCCTCCAGGGCCGTAGCCGCTTTCGTTAGTGTGACCTTTTACATATCCAAATGTAGACATCGTCTTATCGCTGGTGTGACAGGTTGGCCACGAATATTCTCAAGTTAAGGGTAATCTGAAACCGTTTTTCGGCTTTGTATTTCCTGTGTTTTTGTTTGTTTTCCGGCGAGACGATTGTTAACGCGGATATGTTAAAGATTGTGTGAGTGTCGAGGGGTCCCATGGAACTCCTAGATACTGTACTAATTATTGCTGAACGATTCCAAAATACACGATGAACAAAGCAATAGTAAAAATGAATGAGTGGTACTGAAGAACCTATCAAAAAACGAAAAGGGGATTGCTGAAGGAAAGTAAGGGTTACACAAAGCAAAATCGATTTCTGATGCTC